TAATTGCATTTTAGGTTTTGGGGTACATGTGAAGAACATGCAAGATTGTTGCATAGGTACACACATGGCAGTGTGATTTGCTGCCTTCCTCCCCATCACCTACATCTGGCATTTCTCCCTACGCTATCTCTCCTCACCCAGACTCTTGAACCCACCTCGCTGGATCTTGCTCTATTACTTAGCTTCACTCTCCTCATGTTTAAGAGATCTTAAACATGTCTCTGTCTCCTCCTCTGCCAACTTACATGCTCAGGTCTCCCCCATTCTAAAATCGATCTTTTCCTTTAGCTTGCTTTTCATCCAGCTTACCTTCCATCCCAGCTTTTCTTCCTACGGAACTTGCTTAGCTTTGGTAATTGGCACTCACTGTTTCTCCTTCCTCTCCCCATTGAAACCTCAGCTCCTGACATTTGACTTCTTCCCCGACAGCTCCAATAAAATTCATGCAGCCATCTCTGCCAAGAAACTTAGCTATGAAGGGAAAGGGGCAAGTAGCCAGAGGGAGAGGAAGAGGAGGGGAAAAAGAAGCGGTGGAAGTATCTGGAAGGGGAACAACTGATGGGATGCAGTATGACGGGAGGTGAGAGAGAACAGTGTCTGGGGCATAGGTGGAGGGAGAGTCTGTCCCTAGAGGCTGGAGGGCGGGAGGAAGTGTAGCAGGGTGGGGAAAGGAAGGTAAAGGAGTTTTTACCAGGTGGTCTTGATTTTTGCAGTGAAGAAGGATGCTATGATTCTTTGTTGAGGATGAGAGGTGAGGGTGAAGGGTAGGGGATAGGAAGGGAGTCGAGAAGCTTTGCAATAGCAACCAGGAGTCCCAGGAGACACTGCTGACCAAAGGCAGACAGAAGTGCCTAGTGGCAAAACGGATGCCGCTGAGCTGGAGACCGCATTGAGGGTCACACCAGACCTTGAAGATGTGGTTTCTTTACTAATGCTCTGCAGGCTAGAGCTCGGGGAGAGGAGTCTGAGGTTTAGGCAGAATAGGGCTTATCCAGAGGTTTATCCAGGGGGGGACTGAAGAGTCAGGGGTGAGAGTGTGAGGGTAACGGTTAGGGAACCCAAGCTGGAAAGAAAGGTGAAAGGAGGGAGGGGGGCGGGGAGAAAATGGAACAGCCAAGTTCAGGACTGGGGGTGCCGGTGTAGCTGAGGAATCCACCCATGACAGTGAGAGTTGTTATCAATGGCCCTGCAGTTTAGGATCTAGAGTGTGACCTCAGGTATAGGCAAGAGAAAAAGGATGCGAGTGTAAGAACTGAGGAGCTCAAGGAACTCAACGGATAAGATGCTGGGTGGGCCATTTGCACTGGGAGTGAGGCAGCTCAGTGAAGAGGAAGCAGGATCCAGGTGCCAGAGTCCCCAGTGAGCATGAAGGGAGTCAGATCAGGTGGTGGCATGGGGCCAGCAGAGATCAGCCTCAGGCAGGCCTGGTGGAACTGGATGGCAGGAGCCCACTGGAGTTTTAGAACCACAGTGATCTGTGCAATCAATCTATAAAGGCTAAAAACTCAATCAGTACATGACGGATTTTTTTTCAACCAATAGTATTCCAATGAATGATCAATTCACAGGATTAAATGAATTGACCAATTCATTTCACTTCCCTATGGACAGGCATTTAGGACGGTCTCAATTGTTTTTCACAAATATGCCACATTCCAATTCACATTCCAAGATAATGAAAAAAATTAATATTTTTTTCTGTATGAGTCAGAGCACATGTTTTTAGGGGATAGACAATGAGTAATAGTTCTCAAAGTACAGCAAGGAGGCAAACAGAATGCCTCCTCTCTGGGAAAGGAGTCACAGGGGCTGTGGGGATCGGGGAGTCTAGGGCAGGTTTAGCAGAGCCAGGCAAAGCAAGAGGACCGGGGGCTGCCAGGAGTTCACAGCTCGGTTCTAGAGGGTGAGGTGGGACAGCTAGGAGGGTGGTGGGAAGAAAGTGGAGGTGTGCTTGGCTGTGTGTGTAACACAGGGCTATGGAGATGGGAGCCTACGTTTGGAGCAGGCAGATGACCAATGGGGAAAGACTGTGGGATTAACTTGCCTCACAATTCTGCCCAGGATTTCCTAAGGTGGTCTTGGTGAGGCCAATGGAGACAGAGGCTGGATGGATGGCTGCAATGTGAATTCCTGTGGGCAGGAATCCTGTCTGCAGCCTCTCGAGTTGGCAGTGCCTTGGGAAGCCCTCCAGAGGATGTTTGTGTGCGCTGCCTGGCACTGAGTGGGCTCCTAGTGCCGGCCTGTGAATAGAGAGGCAGGAGGAGACTGGCCGGGGCTGGAACGGCCTGGAATGCTTCAGGGAGGGGAGGAGAGGCCAAGGGGTGAATGCCAGGCAGACCCTGGAATGGGGAAATACTGCTCAAAGTGCCACCCCCAAACCCAGATGTGGGCCTGAAAAAGCCCAGAGACCTTTTCTCCTTCCCATTGTCCTCCCCAGCCCTCTGCAGGTATGGAATCTGGGGATTTCATCTTAGGTGAAAAAATCCATGGCCCAGGGAGGGGCAGTGACGTGTCCAGGGCCCCAAGGCAGCAGCAGTGTCCTGACAAAGATTTCCCAGCCAGGCTTTAGGGGAGAAGTGGATGCAGGAACTCCTGGTCTGGGTGGGCACAGCCTCCAGAGTGCAGATCCTGCAGGGGGATGGAGGGGAGGAGGGATGAGAGGGCCAGAGGCAGAACTTGTCGGGGAGGTATGGGAAGGCAGGCAGTGGTGTGAGAGGCAGTGGTGAAAAAAAGAGTTGAAGGTGAGCCCTGAGGGGTAAGGAAGTTGGAGTGTGTGTGTGTGTGTGTGTGTGTGTGTGTGTAAATGAAACAATTGGTCTCTTCTACCTGCTTGGGCATTGGAGAAGGAGGGCAGTGAGATTCCTATGAATGCAAATATCACAGGGCCAGGTAATCCGTGGGCTCTTCAAGCTACAACCAGGCGCAATTCCAGGTTGACTCTCTCTCTCTCTTACACGTACATGCATACTCTGCAGCCAATGCCACAGCAGGTCTCCTTGAGCACCCCTCTGCCTCTGGCCTAAGCTGACCCAACGCCCGCCCGTGGCTAGGGTAGGGAGGAGGCAGGGAGGGGGCTGGTGAGTCTCCACTAAGATCACTGAGAAGGGGTGACATTCTTTAGCCTTGCTGGAAGTCCTTGTGCTTTAACTGAAATGGCCAACCAGGAAGGACATTCCGTCCCCACCCTCGGCTCCCCCAAGGGCTTGGTCTGAGGTGACAAACCTGGCCAGCTCATTGGGAGGGGCTAGAGGTGGGCTAAAGGCGGAGAAAGCCAGGCCTGAGAAGAGAGGGTGTGACAAGCATGGCTGGGCCTACTGGGAAGTGAGGCCAGCACTCAGGCTTTGTAGGGTATTCCCTGCTCCTGCACAAGGCTCACTCGCCTTGACTGGGTTTGAAACTGCTGGGAAATGTTTGTTGGTGGCTTCACGGGAGGAAGTTGATGACAGCTGAGGGCTTTTAAACAGAAAAATGGTGGAGGGAGAGGGAGGGGTGTTAAGTGCAGACAGAAGCACAGGCACTCAGGCAGGCATGGAAATGTGTGTCATTGTGTAGCCACAGCTGCCCCCTCGCCCAGGATGCCCGCACAGACCCCTGTCCGTAAGCATGCTCAGACACACGGGTGCATATGCCTGGAGGTGTGAGCAAAGCAGAGCGCAGAGGCCCGCAGGTGTGTACACACAGACGTGCATACATATCCACAAAGTGTCACAAATACACACAAGTGTCCCCTTCCTCTACAGGGACACAGAAAATAAATGGACAGGAATATGGTGCAGAGTGGGGGAGGTGCATGTCCAGGGTAATCATTCCCAAGGCCCTTGGGCTTCCGACGCCTACTGGAGTGGGGAGGGGAGGAGCCAGAAGTGCCATCGTGTCCCCCTCAGCCTAGTTTCCATGGGAAATGAAGTAAGAGGGAACGCAACCAGGGAAACTAGCTGGGCCAGGTGGGGTCTGACTCCTGAACAAATGAGTGAAGGAGAGCAGCAGGGAATGCCTTTCTGGCTTCAGCAGCCTGGAGGGTGGGGGCGCCTGGGCGTTGACTCCTGGGTTGGAACTTTTCTGGCCACCCCTTCCCCCAGTCTCTTGCCACTGGGTCTCTCTGCTCGGGGCTCAGGAATCTCTATGTTCTTCACCTCCTCTCCAAGCCTCCTCCTCCGGGAAGCCTTCCCTCACTGAGCCGCTGGAACTGCGGGGCCCCTGTTTCTGATCAGCTGCAACTGCGGTCCCCCCTGTTCTCTGCGGCCACCTACGGATGACGCTCTTGCCTCCTCCGGACCATTCCTGCTGGGACTGAAAGCCTGGGCTTCGGCGGGGCGGGCGGGCAGAGAGCGGAGGGCGGCCCCAGGAGGGGCCTGGCAGCAGAGAACTGTGGCCCGCGGCCAGCCCCGCCCCTACCTGTGGAAGCCCAGCCGCCCGCGCCTGCGATAAAAGGCGCCAAGTGTCCCCCGAGGTCAGCCAGTGCACGCTCCTCCTCGCCCGCCGCTAGGTCCAGCCCGGCCCAGCCACCATGTCCATCCACTTCAGCTCCCAGCTGTTCAGCTCGCGCTCCGCCGGCTTCTCCGGCCGCGGCTCCCAGGTGCGCCTGAGCCCCGCGCGCCCGGGCGGCGTCGGCAGCAGAAGCCTCTACGGCCTGGGCGCCTCGCGGCCGCGCGTGGCCGTGCGCTCCGCCTCTGGGAGCCCGGTGGGCGCCGGTATCCGCGAGGTCACCATCAACCAGAGCCTGCTGGCCCCGCTGCGGCTGGACACCGACCCCTCCCTCCAGCGGGTGCGCCAGGAGGAGCGTGAGCAGATCAAGACCCTCAACAACAAGTTCGCCTCCTTCATCGACAAGGTGAGCGGGACTGGACCTCGCCTCGCCTCCAGCCGCGCCCCGGGTCACACCAGCCGCCCTAACTATTCCTACCTGCGCTCTGCCGCCCTTCTCTCTTTCTGCCAATGTTGGGGACTCGATCTGGGCGGCCTTCCTCCTCCGCGTCAACCCCGTGGCTATTTCATCCCCTGGGTCTCCCAGCTTTCCCTCCCTTCCAGCAAGCTGCCCAGCTGCCCCTCCCTTTTCTCCAGGAGTTCGGGCCTGGGTGCTGCAGGACTGCCATCGCTGGCTGACTGTGGGTCCCCTGGACCAGTTTTGCCCCCAGGATCAGGCTGGGAGTTCCAGAGGCCAAGGCCAGGAGTTTCTGTCTCTGGGACCCTTTCCCTGAGATGGGACCATGTGGAGTCAGGGAAGGGGTCGGGAGGCACACCTTTCCCAGCGGGGAGACACAGGCTCCCTCAGATGCTGATGAGGGTGCAGATGCTGGAGGTGAGGGCTGGGATGGG